ACCTTGACTTCATACCCATACATACTGGTTATACAATCTTTGTAACTTCTAGATGTAGAGAAGTAAATTTCAACTAAAACTTGATTAATGAAATTCACTATACTTCTAAGAGACAGATACACTAGAGGCCAGATTTTATAATATTAGTTATTTAATATTTCAGAGGGTGTTGAAAGTTAAGAGTGAGAGGACCAGGAACACTGCTGAAAAATAGTATATCTGGATATGACATAGATGCTGTGCCTATAAACTCTTACCAGTATGGTTGTCTGAACAGAACTACGGCAGTAAACATTCCAGCATGGATGAGAGAAGGGTTCCCAAGGCCTGACCCTAATGAGAAGAGCTACGGGCAGTTGACTTCTGAGAAAGAGAGTCAGTTTTTCAGGGTTGAGCCTCCTGATAGGTTAAGCATGCCCAAGTAGGCAGGCCTACATCAATTCATGCATATAGTTAACATTAACAGGGATATATATATATATATATCATGTGTGTATTAGCATTGGGAGGAAAGAATAGATTAGCATAAACAAAGTTATTTACTGAAAATGTAATCAAAAGAAACTTAAAGCATCAATCTTTAACATCAACCAAAGAAAACTCAATGTGCACTTGTGCATCAGAAAGACATCTCCCCCGTGTTCCCTAAGGTCTCGTTTTCCCCAGGGCATAAACAAATTATCTCCCAAACAAGCAACTTGGTATTAATTATATGGTCCTAAAGGGAGCCACTTTGGCACCCCCTCCATAACTCTCTGGGGCTTACACATTTGCCTTTTGCTACTAATTTTTTACATATCCATCTGTATTTACAGATTTAAATTAGTGAAATTCATGAAATATATATATATATATATATATATATATATATATATATATGAATTTATAATCCATGTGTATCTACTTCAGAAGGAAGGACCTGTGGTGGTCATGATGAGTACTTAATATAACCTTGGCTGCGCTAAGAAAACTTGGGCATCTTGAATGCAAATATGAAACACTGTCCTTTATTTGAACTATCATATGCTTTATTTACTTTTTTAAAATTTTGTATATTCATACAATGAGTTTTGGTCAAATTCACCCTTACTCCCCTTCTCTAACTATCCTTCCACACTTTCCCAATTTCAAGTCTTCTTTTTCCCTCTATTTTGAAAACAACACACTGGGTTCATTTGTAGATCTCTCTTTTAAATGTCCTGTTGTAATATGAACGGCGGGCTGCGTCCCCGGCACCCGGCCACCCATATGGCTAGCTTATGCCCCGAAATAATTACATGGAAACTGTATTCTTTTAAACACTGCCTGGCCCATTAGTTTCAGTTTCTTATTGGCTAGCTCTTACATATCGATCTAACCCATTTCTTTTAATCTGTGTAGCCCACAAGCTGGCTTTCCAGGAATGATCTTAACCTGCGTCTGCCTGGAGTGGAAGAATCATGGCGACTCACTGACTCAGCTTATTTCTCCCAGCCTTCTGTTCTGTTTACTCCTTCCACCTACGTTTTAACCTATCAGGGCCAAGCAGTTTCTTTATTGCTTAACCAATGAAATCAACAGATTGATATATGACACTCCCACATCAATGTCCCAGCCACCTAGAGCTGCTGCCTTTGGAAGATGTCATGATCCACCTACATACTTGACACTAACCTTACTTAAACTGGACAGATTATCACTTTCCTTCTGTAGTTCCAATATTGACCAAATAGATAAACTTGCAACTTTGTATCACGTAAGATACATCAAAATACAGATTCATTATAGAAGTTGAGGTTCAAAGTCTTTAATATCTTCCTTAATCTATTAATTCCTTTTTAAAACCTAAGTCTTCTCAATTGTAACAGTTAATAAAATATTTCAACATTCATTTTATCTTTTCTTGTCACAAAACAAAGCAAAACCAAGCATCAGTAAGAACAACAAATAACAAAACAAACAAAAATGCTGATGTCAAATTAAATATTAGTTGATTCTAAAATCTTTGTGCATTTTGAGAAAGGAAGATCAAGGTGTGTTACAGTTGAGCAAATCCCTAATTCTGAAGTAATATCAGTTGTTAAGTATTGAGACTGAGTCTTTGAGTAACTGTAAGGTGAATAGGAAGCATTCAGGGAACCCCAAAGGATACCCCTCAATTATCAACAATCAGGATATGTTCATAAGAGATCTGTCACCGTCTGTGAACAGGGACTACCACTTGAACATACAGAGGTCATTGTGTACTACTAAATAATCCTACATTTTAATTGCAGGATGGAGATAGCTTAAATTATCCATCCTAAATGGTATTTGTGAGTCTTTGAGACTACTTAGTTCACCAAATGAAACAATTTGTGGCCTATATTAAAAAGAGAATTAAAACATGGTTTTTCACAGACAATTCTAACTTCATTCTGTAGAAAGCAAAGGTGCATCATTCGAAATCATAAAGGTGCCTCCCCTTCCAACACTCAGGAATATAGCCCTTTAAATTTTCATTTCTCCTATCATCCATTTCCTTTCAAAATGCCTACTGAGCCTCATTATAAAATACTATTAGCACATGCAGGAACAGACAGCTGTTTAAACTTTCTGGGGTAAGGGGTGTTCCTTTAAAGACTACAAAATGCAAAGTTCTTTTTGTGCTCTAACTAAGGCTTTCTAGAGAAACTTAGAACGAACCAGCAAAACCCAATTATTTTAAGCAGCTTTTTAGATGACTTAGTATGAACTTTTCTAATTATGATTATAAGTTATCTGTCCACAGGCATTAGTGTCTACGAATGATTTAAGGCATGATTGTGGCCTCAATCTGAGATGCTTGGGATATATCTGCTGCTACATTTGATGGGTCTTCCTTATATGAAGACACATAATTTCCTCAGTAAAGTCTTTTATTTATTTGTTAGCCAATCCTACTTTGTTTCCAATAAAATTTTCTTTATTGACAGCGCGTTGCAAATCTCTTTCCACTCTTTGATCCTGACTGTGCTTATTGGCTTGGCATCCAGCCAGTATTCATGGGGACCCTTGACATTTAATCACAATAGAAAGGTGATTAGAGAGAAAGATGATCACAAATTGAGGTTGGGAAGAGTGTAAGATGTAGCAATGGATATGAACAGTGAAACCATTTTACATGAGGTAGAATAAGTACATTTTATTTATTATATGGAAAAGGAAAACATTTTGTTTTTCAAAAGTTATACAAGCCATGCCAGTCACTGCAACTCACAACAAGGAGAAATCACCAGTATATTCCTAGTGAAAACTAGGAGGTGATATAGTACTGTTTCTGAGACTCTGTCACCAGGCTGGCCTGGAACTCACCAAATAGCCCAGACGTCCTTAAACCTGTAGTGGTCGTCCTGTCTCTACTATACGTTTTTTTTGTTTGTTTGTTTGTTTGTTTTTCATTTCTGATCATCCCTAATTCCAAAAAAAATTGCCATCCAACATCATTGTAGAAAGTTTTCTTTAGTTAACCTCAAACTTACCCACTCATCTTGATTTAGATAGCTCATATCTTTGGAATTGATCACTATTATCTCTTTCCTCTTCCCAACTCCCCAAGTCTTAAGAGACAGTCCTACAATCACATCACCAAGTCATAGGTAAATCCAGTTACCATAACTATTTCCACGTTATATTGGGCTGATTGATTACTTTAACAAAGATATCTGAATTTCAGGACATGGTTTGCAATTGGCAAGACAACTGCTAAACCAAAAGTATCCTCTGCAATGAGTTAGGCAGAGAACTCCTGAAGTTTACTGTAAGTTCTGATGACAGCATTACTTTTGAATGATGCATTTAAAACCAGGTCAAGTAAAATGGGCAGAGGCTATGAATGCCTTTTGTATTTGAAGATATAGTCACTTATTTTATTCCTCTTAGGAAATTCCTGACAATTAACTCCTATTTAATTTACATTTCTGTTTTGTTTGTGTTTGTTGTTTCCTTTGTCCTTAGCACCTGTCCTTGAGGATAATAATAATAATAAAAATACTACTACTACTACTACTACTACTAATAATAATAATAATAAATAATAATATTCTGCTACAGATCTGGAGGTAGGAAATGTGCATGATCTCTGGGAATTAGAAAAGATGGATTTAAGAATTCAGACTTTGTATGCTTTTTTTTTTCATTTGTCATTTAAACAGCATCACTCCTACAGCCCAGGCTAACCTTGACCTCGAGAACATCCAGCCTCAGCCTCCCAAGTGCTGACAGGTTTGGAGCATGCTCTGCCTCCTTGATCTCTACTGTGTCTTCGCTCGTGACCGTACCTATCATAATTTCATGCAACACCTCTGACTCTGCTCAGTCTCTTTTAAAACCCTTTGAAATAACTCCTTAGAATCTGAGTTTTCAATCAGTTTAACCTTATAGGAATGGCTGTGAATTCCACCCCAAAATAAAGCCTGAATGCCATACAGTGAATATTATAGGCCATGCTATGTTTTAAACAACACTTTCTTAAATAAAATACAAACAAATAGGCATCCAAGTCAAAATCCCATACAAAAGGCATAAGAAATAAAGAACAGTAGACCCCCAGGCACTAAGTCAGTGTGCAGTAGAAGTGCGAGCTTTCTTAGCCCAAGACGACATGCTGTTTTGTTAAGAAAGTTATTTCCCAGCCCTCCTCTGAACTCAGTTAACATCAACAGTTCCAAAATCGGACAGGAATGGTACAAGCAAGCAACCTAGGAGCTCCTGGTTGTCCCTCAAGAACCACAAAGGAGATTCTGTAGAGTTCAGCAAACAAGGCAGAAGTTTTACATCTATCAAGCAGCAAGTATGTCTATAGATTTTCAGTTCGCTGCTTCATTCAGAAAATAGAAGCTAAGATTTATCAGCTCCTTAGTCACACATGAAATGATTCAGCCCGCTCGTACACACAGAGCTGGGAGAAAGCTGCTCTTGCGTTCATGCTCTCTCCTGTTGTACAAACAGCACGGAGCTGGCTGTGTGGGTTCTCTTATTGTGTCAAATCAAACTCATCTTACCTCGACTTCCTTGCTCTTCTCTTTGTTTCGGCCCACTGAGCTTCTCCCATTGCTGGCTGTCTCCCGGGCAGGGATTACAGAAATCTGGTGGAGGGGCATATTGGCAGGGCTGCAGGTGGCCAAACCCTGATTGGACGCCTTGTGGCTTCACACGCCCTGAGAAGCTCACCTGCAGAACTGTTCATATCCTTGCTTTGCCAAACTTGGATCTAAATAAAAAGGAAGAAAATAGTGTTGGAGACACTGTACAGCAGTGGCCAAGCACACTGAAAGAAAAATTTTAAAAATGTGTAGATGATAAGCCAAGGAGTATCACATTTCTCAGAAGGACGATTCACTGCAAGTCATAACTGCACTGCTTTGTCACTCATGCCCCCCCTCCCCTAAGAGCATCATGGGAGACAATTCAATTTCTACGGTACCTAATAACTGTCATGGAAACCAAGGAAACCCAGGTCTCATGGGCCCTTATTAACAACTGCTCCTTTAATGGCACACACTCCCACATGTGCAGCGACTGACACAGGCTTTTGTTTCTGCCCAGATCCCCAGGAGTCTCCGGAACACCCAGAGACATGCATCCTGCTGACAAGCTAAGTAAGCAGAAGGCTGAGAAGCTTAGTGTCCTATTTGGATACAAATCTCTTCCTCGAAAGACTGGGCTGGCTGCCTGTGTCGTGACTGTCCTTCATGCAGCTACAATAATCTGCTTAGGTCAAAGGAGCTGCCTGTCCTGGAGAGCATTACATGAGCTGCAAAGAGAAGAAAGGAGGTGAAGGAGAGAAGGGGAGAAATGAGAAGAAATAAGGGGAAAAGGGAAGAGAGAAGAAGGGAGTAGAAAGATAGGGAAAGAAGAAGAATAGAGAGAAATGGAAAAGAGGGGGAAAGGAGAGAGGGGAAGGAGGAAGGAAGAGAGTGGGGTTAGGGAAATGGAAAAGGGGGACTAAGGAGAGGGAGGGAGAGGAGAAGAAAAGGGAAGGAAGAGAATGGAGCTAGGGTAATGGAGAAGAGGGACTAGGGAGAGAAAAGGCAGAAGAAGAGAAAAAAGGAGAGAAAGAAAGGCCTGGAGGAGAGAGAGATAAAGAAAGTCATGGAAGGAGGTAAAAAAGAAGGTGATGGGTAGAGAAGGTAGAGAAGAGAGGAGAGGAATAAGAGGGGAAGAAAGGAAGGGAAAAGGAAGCCTGAAGAGACAGATGGAATCTAAGGGGAAGAGATGAATAGAAGAATGGGAGAAGAGATGAGAAAAAAGGAGAAGAGGAAGGAAATGGGGCTGAGGGAGACTGGTTGGGTAGGGACAAGACCTAGGAAGAGAGGGACCAAAGCAGGAGCAGAGAGGTTGGAAGAAAAAAATGAGAAAAGAGGGAAGCGTGGCATCTCCCTAGCCAACACCAGGAGTGGGGGAGCCACACCCTGCTTGATGAAGTGCAGACCCACCCCAAGGCACTCAGTTCTGCTTGTGGTAACTTCTGTGCTCTCTGGAGAGCATTGGTTTGATTTGTATGTAAACCTTCTCCTTTCTGCTAAGGATTTCAGTGTCCTCTTAGGAGGAGAAAATGATTTGGGGAAAGTGAAACAGAATTTCTGCTCTTCAAATTACAAAATAAAAAACAATAATAAAGAAAAGGAAAGGGAAAAGAAAGAAAAAAACAAGCAAACAAAACCCAACACTTTGAAAACAGTCCATGTGAGATCTTCACAGGTGGTCACTACTGCGACCCATCTCCAGCTATCTTTGTATTTTATATCAACAGTGCCATTTCCAATAAGATGCTACAGTTTCTTTAGACTCAGGACAGAGATCAAATATAGCAGAGATAGCTACTGTCAATGACAATAATATAAAAGTTACTCATGAAAAGACTTTCAAAATAAAAACTCATTTTAATCTAAACATCTGCATTGAAATAAATACGTCTATGTATTTTCAAATTTGGACGAAGTATGCATTACTCTTATCCATGCCAGTCACCTTCATGTGGTTCACTCCCCTGCTCTCCATTTGGTCCATCTGAAGAGACTTTAAAAAGCACAGTTAACCCAAGGCAAGCTGGTGTGGTTTTGGGTTCATCATGAACATCTGAAATGAACCTTTTGCTGAACAGCCCATGACTCCTATACAGCAGATCTTCAGAATCACCTAGCCCGGCACTCAAGCAGCCTTAGTACAGTAGAAGCACACACGGAGATTGACCTGTTGCTGTAGAATCCTTTCTGAAAGTAGAAGTGGGCTGCACTGAACTGGGTGTTCATCAGTCTCCGTTTGCAAAGAATGCAGAAACTTGCATGAAGGGACCGTGTGAGGCTTGCCTCTTCCAAAACTTCCGTGCCTTATTCTCATTACTCAGAAGGCAAAGAGCACAGAGTTTGAGGCCTGCTTGGTATGGAGCATGAAACTGTATGAAGCTAATCCCTATGAAGCTAAATTGATGTTGATTAAGCATGCTGTGGTTTAAGAGTCCCATCTGTGGCCCGTAACTGTGAAAAAGACACATCCTTACTTAAAAGCAATTGTTAATCCCTTCATCCAGGACTGTCTTCATTAAGAGGAGGCTGGCAATGGAAGACCATAAATCTAATAGTCTGTGGAAAATACAAAATGTAAATTATAAACTTCTTTGGGAAAGTCTTATTGCCAGTGTTTACTCCACAGAAGCCTCTGGAAACAGCCAAGGCAATTTTCCAGATAAAGTTAGAATTCGGTACTTTTCTCTAAAATATTCATTAAAGTGACAGGAAAGGCTATTTCTAGCTTGAGTTAACAGAGTGCCTGTCTTAATCCTACACGTCATTATGCATGTAGGGTGATTCTTTGTTTACTGTGAGATTCTTTTTGAAACTAAGATTTAAAATTTAAGTTAGTTTGAGTTATATGCTTGAGTTACTTCAATTTGCAATCTTTTATTCTGAAATTAGGATTACGAATCAAATTTCAGGGAAAACATTTATTTATTAGACTATTTTGCACAATAGACAAGAGAATGTCTACTGAATCTTTTCAATCAACTATTGAGAGTTCAGAAAAATTGATAAACAATCTAAATTTTTATTAAGAATTGTGATAAACTGAGATAAAGTTGGGTGATAGCTATTGAGGCAGAAAAAGATGTGTTTCAACACTTCATTTGAATATTTGTCTGGCTTGGAACACTGGTACAGCCATCACTTGTGTCGGTGGTGTGTGTTCATCTAGGCTGTTCCTCAGGCAGCTACTGAGTGTGAAGTCTCCGGGGCAAACGTCTCACATAGCAATTGAAAGCTCAGGAACTGCTGGGGATTGCAGCTCTCCTATAAGAGTCCAGGCAGATTACACAGCCATTAACCCCATGGAGTAAAGGAAGAGCCCTGCATCCAATAGCTGTGCACTAACAATCTGCAGACAATGGCCTCACTATCAAAGAGGAGCCTTTCAGCTGACTGGTATCCTCGCAATCCACACAATCAAATTTATAAATGGAACTCTGGAAACGTTGGACTGTAATTACTGATGAAGCTGTCGTGAAACTTCACCGCTGCCTGGACCCAGTCTGTGTTGCCTCTGTGTTCTGACTACTAGCCCTGGGGTTTTGGACCATCACTGCATTGCTTACCTCTGCCTTCTGATTCCAGCGCTGCAGGTACTAACTCTAACACTCATGACTGCGGCTTCCCCCAAGACTTCTGCTTTGCTGCTGTTCTCAGCAAAGACTTTTAAAAGACAAACAAAGCAAGCAGTACATCTGATCCTCTACCCTGAAACACATCTCAGTCTTCACAGGATCAATACATGAGTGTGGAAAGCTAACAGGCTGGTCTTGATGGCAATTACACAAGAAAGAAGCTATCAGGCAATGACAGGAAGCAAGAAAACACTCTGACTGACAGACTGATAGTTCAGTCCAATAAACATTGGCTGAGCATCGCCTAGGGTTTTCACCATTCTGGGAAGAGGCATCACACGGAAATCTTAAACACAATTTCCATGTCCCAGGAATTTAGTGTGCCCGTAGGAAGATGAGTAAATCATTTTTTTAAAAAAATAGTGACACCCTACAACTAATAATGTTTAAAATTTGTGAAATACAAATGTTTAAAATTTGTGAAAAAAAAGAGGGATGATGGGATAATAGATTTGTAATTGTGAGTTACTGTTTTTAGACAAATATATTGGTATAGATTCTTGTATATTGATACAAAGTTAAATTATATTGACTATTGTATGCATGCATGTTTCTACCTCTGTTTAAAACATTTTTATGTATTGACATATATTGTATTGATATATATATTGTATATATTTACCATATTGCAGTGTACATTTCTACCTCTGATTAAGATACTTATATAATGTTTGTGTATTGATATATATTTACCTACTGTAATGTATATTTGTACATTGTTTATATTTGGAGGTCATTGTCCTCATTTGTTTCATAGTCGTTTATTGTCTTAGTCTTTAAGTTAAATAGATATTGAGAATTATATAGACTAATAGTCATCTAAGTTTGTCATTTATAATTAGACTAATCAGGTTCTTTAGATATATAGAGATTATACTCAGTATAGATAGATGATCTTCAACTTCCTCAAAGAGCTGTAGAAAATGACCTTTAATCTAACTCAGAGTTTTGTGGTAGTGAGACACAATTGCTCCTGGCAACACTGCTCTATTCCCGAGAGAATGTTGAGCACCAAAGACACTCCACCTGGAGCCTTTCTTTTTGGCAGAACTGGCCTTTGGGCAAAGAAATGCCCATACCTCAACCACTGACAGAGATACAGAACATGCATCAATGGATAAAACAGGACTCTCATATCCTGCCAAGACAGGTTAAGATAATTTTGAAAAGTTGCTTGCCTTTGAAAATGGTATGTCAGTTATGTTAGGCCTTAGCCAAAGTTGGTTGCTTCAACACTGCTAACGTGACTTTGGGTGATTGCCCAGGTAGCTAGTTGTCTCTGTGATTTGTTGCATATTTTGGAAGTTGTTTTACTGAACTTCCTAATTACCCAGGTAACATTATTTCCCTTCTCAGATCTTCGATGGGGTTGAAGACTATATAGATGTAGTTATTTTTCTCTCATGACTTGGCCAAGTTATTTATTATACAAGACCTAAGCTAGTTAGAATAGGATATTTGTACTTATTGTATATAATTTCATAGTAGGTTTAGAACTCTCTTATTTAAACAAAAGAGGGAGGTGTTGTGGGAGGTCCTCCCGTTTCTCCAGC